CTTTAGATTAAAAGACAAAGAACAAAAGATAGCAGTGGTCAGCTCCTTCTCTTTAGCCCTAATAAAATAACCGGTTACTCATTGTATGAGATGACCGTTGTCCATTTATACTAGTATTTTAATAAGTGGCTCTAGAATAATCAGTCACTGGATATAAAACAAATATAAGCCGTAAAGTTGACCTTATTTATTCAGCTGTTGTACATATGACTCAAGGCTTATCAATTATATTATGAAATAATTGACTGATACATAGCGTGTATTGAAAACATTTATTTTATCATTTATTTATTTTATCTGCCTATCTCCAAAATCCTAATTTTCACGATCTTTGAAGCCATAGAAAATTTTTGAATCGACCTGCAACGGATTTTAGTATAGGTATACTTTATTTAAGTGTAAGGATGGATTTTATTTTATTATAATGTTGAATTCCAAAACGAACTCAAAAAAAGCATTTTAAGCAGGAAAAATAGGAAAATAAAGATAAATAAAGAAAAAATTAGAAGATGAGAATAACCTATAACCCCCTTAAATTTCGAAACATGTTGCTTTTGCAGGAGAATTTATGAAATATTTTTAGAGAGTAAGATCGAAAAAAGATGATGTCAAAGTAGTCGTGAATGGAATTCCTGGAACTAATATTTTCAAAGACAAAATGGAAATAAGTTTTCGCATCAATTGATCTATCTCACCAAAATTGCTTTATTATTCATTTTTTCTATTTCTGCATTTATTTTTTCATGGATTATTGGCAAAAAATCTTGCCAAAAGAAAACTTTTTCTTTTTTTAACATTTGCTTCTACTCAAGATGATTGAACATATTCGCGATCCTTGTGAATGAATGAAATTTCATTCAATTTCGGTATTCTCTTATTCTTTTCCCTGGTCAACCATAATTTTTTATCTCATGAAATAGGTACTACCCTATGCATTTTTACGGCTAAGTCTAATTTTTTCTACTTCAAAATAACCTTTTTTTGATTTGATAAATAATTTGTTTTTAATCAAAGAACTACAAGAAAAATAGAAAATAGAACTAAAAAAAGAAATATAGGCATAAACTATTTTGCAAAAGCAATGGAAAACAAAAGGGCAATCGAGTGAATAAACTTTTCTTTATATCATTATATAAAAGCTACATAGCTTGTTACATAGCATATGGCTGCAGGTACCCAATTCTTATAGCATTACTTATTTTTCTGAAGCATATGTGGTAGTTTCATGCTCAAAATCGCGTCATGCATTTCAACTGATTGATCTAACCTAAAGAATTCAAGATGTTCTCACAAAATTATGCTTTCAGTGGTTTCATAAGAAGATTCATCAAAAACCTTCATTAAGCCTTTTCTTTTTTAATAATTTTCCTATTTAAAATGTATCGCTGATTTTTGCTTGATTTTCCAAGAGTGAGAAGAATCTTTGAGTATCAGCAGACAATAAATTAAAAATGATCAATGCAAAAATTTTTGGTTCGATAAAATTATGAAATAGTTTTTTACCATCATTTATACGTACGAGACTCCATTTTCTTTTGAATTTCTGAATTGTTATCAACAGCATTTTCAAGACAAGGCAACAATGGAATTGATGCGCAGTTATATGTAATAAGAAACTTTGAATACCAATCTCCTTAGTAGGCTATTAACATATTAAGAGAATTTCACAAAAGTAGCGTACAATAAAAAAATCCATAAAATACACGATGTATATCAGAAATAACTTTGCAAATTTTTCGGTAAAATTCCACAAGCATACATATTTAACTGTCTCTACCAAGTGGAATGAACAGAAGAATCCAAGGTATTAACTGATGCCATTGAAAGTTGAGATATTATCTAGCCAACAAACAGTTGTTTGCTACCCTATGAGGATTGCGAAGAGATACATGGAATTCTTAAAAAGCACTCCCAGTCACAACTTTCCACGACCATAAACTGCAAAAGAATCCTTGAATTCTGGAAAAGCTTCTTTTACATTAGATTTGAATGAATATGACTTAAAATTAGAAACGAATATTTCAAACAGTTTTTTATTTGACGTCTTTAAAAATTTCCCGAGAATTTCCACAAAAAATTTGAAAATAGTTGCTAATTTTGAAAAATTGAAAATATCGAATAGTGTCTAACTAAAAAAGAGATCGCTGTATGGCTAGAAGAGTTTACACTTCCCAGTGCACCGCCTCTAAATCTTCTCCCATTTCACAATGGCATTCAGTTACCACCGAATCTAACCAATGGATTCCTACTCGTTACCAATACAATCGTAAGTCCTTCTCCATTTCATACGTATCCTTTACCTCAAATGCTATTCTCTCAAATGGCATTTATTTCAGAGAATGTACCTTCGATAGCGATCAGGTTGCCTGCGTTTGCGAAGTACTTCATCAATCGGGCGACGTCGACAGACTCGTATCGTTTCCGCTTTCATTTTTCATTTTTCGAAATAAAAAGGCTCCCGTAATTTTATATATTTTTCCCACATAATCATATGAAAATAGTTTATGCTTGTACTATTTACAGTAGTAAATATATCAAATGAACCACAGTATGATTTTATCTACGTTAGGGTTGTTCATACTTGCAAGAATGGTTTGCTGCTTTTTGATAGTATCGGTGCGATATCCGGAATTATTTTTTTGTCCTTTGTGCTCCGCAAAGAATCATTTGTAGGTATGTTGTCATTGCCATGCTACAGTCTTTATTAAAGCGATTTTCAGTAGCCATCTATTAATATTGCCATTGATTATTTTAAGTTAATTTCCAAATATTGTAATATTGCAAATATTTTTCCTCTTCGCGTACTTGACAAACTTATTGCTGAAACCATATTAAGCAAAAACTCCCAGAATGAGATCATTAACGAGAGTATTAATATTAATTGGAAATTAGTCGTAGACAATATTTAAAAATATTTTTTCATTGCCAGAAATAAAATGAAGAGAATAGTCAAGCAACTTATATACCATTACAGTAATGAAATTTTTTATGAAAAATATATCTTGCAGAATTATTATAAGATTTTAGCAAATAAAAATTCATTAAACTAATGCTTTTTTAAAAGTCAATTGACTTCCTTGTATCTCATCGTCTCTTGTCTATTTACAAAAAAGGCGCATTCCCTATCTTAGTTTTCAAATATTTATTAAAGCAGTAAAGCTGAATAATTTAGTCGCGATTCAGTTGAGAAACATATTCGTTATATAGCTTTTTTCACTTGGCTCGATAAAATCTCACAAATCTCACAAAACATACTTGAAATGTTGCATCGCGATGAACTTATCAATCATCTTCAGTTTTAAGCTCAAAAAAAATTGGACAATTTGTAGGAAACACAAACAAAAAAGAATTTAACAATTTCTTTAAAATCTAGAAATAATTCTTCATGCATTACATTTGTTCAGCTCGATTTTCTGCAGTAATAATAATTTATTCTAAATAGTTTTTTTTTGAAATTTCATTTGCGCAGTTCTTGTATAATTTTTATAAACCTCATTTACAAGTTTCTTTTCACAAAACTTCTCGAAAACTAATTCATCTGAGAATTTAATTGAAAGTTTTTATTCGTTTGCGATTCTTTAATCTGAAAATATTGTTTTAAATCATTTCGTTATTATTTATAAACAATTCTGATGAATATTTTAATGACTAGCGCTTATCATTTCTGGTTAGCCTCGCTCCGTTAGCTCTTATCTATAGGGAAATAGAACTACTCATCAACACCACTCCAACTTTCTAAACGACAACCTGAGCCATCGAGATGTCGGGCGACTTTTGGATAAATGTAGCTGGCGATATTCTTGACTTTATTCGTGATTAATATCCTATAACGAATCCACTGATCATTTTTAGAATCGTTTCATCCTCTTCATTGTGAAAATACTTAGATTACGAGAATTAGCCCATACTAAGATATTTTGCATAATGTCCGGCGAAAATTCATTGAAGATGATTTATTCAATCCGATTATCTTTTTTGATTGGCACGAATAGTTTAGTCGAGATACAGAACTACAATATTAATCTATTTTTACGCAATGAGCTATTATAAACAATACATTTAATGTGAAGAAATGAATACTCGATGGACAATACTGTAGATGACGTTGTTGAGGCAAAAAAATATTGGATGAGTTAACCAATTTTCAACCTTAAATCACTTATTTATTAGTTACCTATTATTCATTATTAAATCTCGGCCACTGATAAACGTCAAGCAATAAGTGATTTTTGCATTTGAGTGAAATTTCCACATATTTTCTGTCTTCATTCGGTTTTCACTTTTTCTGTGCAGAAGTATTATTTATTTATTGTTTTTAGTAGTAAGCCACAAATATCCTTCTTTGTTATGATGGAGAAATTTAAAATTTATCACGAAATTAGAATAAGAGATCAAATATAACATGACTGGTGAAGATGATAAATGATAGTGATAGTAGGCTTGATTTTCGGTACAGCCAGAAATTTTTTGTCATAGAATTGTGACAATAGAAATATAGGTGAGTTGCCGAGACCATAGTTTATAAAGGCTTCTTCTATGAAGGCAGGAACCGAATCTTTTTCTCTAAACAAGGCAGTATGGACCGTTATATATTGGGCTTCCTGCCTGAACTCTTGCAAATAAAATTGTTTTCCCATTTCGCTCGAATTTAGCATTAAAATCATCAAGAACAAATGCTTATGCTTTAGTGTCTATACTAAAGGGTTGGATATTGATTGGCATAAAAAATTTGAAAACCTACGAACCACAACCCTGTGCATCTTTTCGAAAAACGTGCGAAAATTAATCAAACTTTTCATAGCTGATGAATTATCAATGTTCTATGCAATTTGATGAAGCTTGTATCTAGAGGTTAGGCAAAATATTTATATGAGACAATTATGCGCTTAGCTTTAAATCGTAGGTCAAGCTGGATACATCAGTTGTAGTGATAAGTTTGAAAATTTACTCTGAGAATTTTTTTAGCTATAAATCGCTATATATTATGAAATTGTAATTTTTTGGTCGAATTCGTCAAATTTCAGGCAAAATTCATTTGGGCTATACCTAATCGTGAAGATATACAACGTAATGAAAGTGTTCTTAAGGCACAAGCGTTTATTTGCTTTCATCGTCAGAATTTTAAAGAGCTCTACCGTATACTCGAAAATAATCAATTTTCACCAGAAAGCCATCCAGAATTGCAGGATCTATGGTTAAGAGCCCATTATAGCGAGGTTTTTTTCTCATTCTTTAATGAATCGTGAGAATTTATTTGAGTTCTCGAGAACTGCTTTTTTGACTATCTTCAACTTTTATTAGCCCTTTTCTTAATTATCCGTATATATTTTTTACTTTTTGCTATATTTTTTACTCAGATATTTGCATCATCGGCTATACCGTTATTATTAGTTTATAAGCTATTTCAATAATGATAATTATCATATTTCATAAAATTATTCTTTTTCTATAAAATTCATAAAATTCTAATTGAAAATATCAATTTCGATTTTTGAAATATTTTTTTCACCTAACTTTACCTGTTTCGTTAGTTAAAAGCACTAGAAACTTAATTGCATTAATAAACGACGACCTCTGGCATCATTTGGTTATCTTTTATGCAATAAAATGAAGCAAAATGCTTCAAATCGAGCAATCCGATATAATGCGATAGCAGAGAATAATGCGATTAGTTGCCTAATTTTGTCTCGAACCTGTTCTGGTATCAATGCAACCGCTGTAGACTCTCTCTAAGTCTTTAAATATCTTTAGTCATAAAACTTATTTTCAACGGCCTCATGAAATAAATATCGATGAGGATGCACTGTAGCTTCTTAAAGAAATTTAACCTCAGCTTTGTGAGTTGGCTGTACTTGCCACTGCCAGTGACAATTATTGCTATTATACTAATATGCTAAAAGCTCTTCTAATCAGGCCCTTAATTTGAAAAAGTTGGGAATAATTTGGGCAAAAAATATAAAGATTTCGTTTCCTGACTATTTACATAAAAAAAAGTATATATGTATTTTCAAATGTACTATTTAGGCCGAGAAAATTCGTGGCCGAGAGCTAGGAGCTGTTGGCAAGTATCGTATACGGAGGAAATTTCCACTTCCTCGAACTATCTGGGATGGTGAAGAAACAAGTTACTGTTTTAGAGTAAGGACTTTTGAGAACTATCGATTGTTCTACGATTGTTTAGGATATTCACAGCCTAAAGTTGAATTACAAACTTTCAAATGAGAGTTGCTCAACGAAAGCCCTAGAAAAATAGTTTTCTGCCATCATTCTTAAGTATGAATGAAGAAAAAAGTAGATAAGTGGTTTGACTTTTTTAAAGAATAGATGATCAAAAATTTGAGGAGAAATCGAGGTATACATTAAAGAATTGGTATGCCAAGAACCCTTATCCATCGCCGAAAGAGAAAAAAGAATTAGCTGAGGAAACACATCTGACTGTAACCCAAGTCTCCAACTGGTTCAAAAACAGGCGACAACGAGACAGAGCAGCTGAAAATAAAGAAAGGTAATTTTAATCTTTCTTTTTTGTATATCAGTAAAGATATTCCTCTATCGATGATATGTTTCTGACAGTGACATTGGTATTGGTATTGATAAATTTATTCAATGGAACTTTCACTTTGAACGATTAAATTACTTTTAAGGTATATATAAGACCGATAGAATGTTAATTTAGTTTATTAATTAATGATAATTCCAATTCGGAATAACTAACAATAAAGCTAAAGCAATTAATAATCTGGATTAAGCAACTGTTTTTGCACTTTTTTATGCACCACTCCATTTCATGCCACTTCATTTCATGCTTTTACAAGAAATACAAAAATTGAAAAATTATCAAAACAATGGAAAGCGTGATGCTTATTAATCGTCAAAAGCAAACCATCTTAACTTTCAAAAGAAGCCTTATTGATATTGATATTGATAAGACCAATTGGTCAAACTTTGATTTAAATCCATCCAATTCTTTGTTTGGGAGCACGGTGGTGAAATAATGTGCTGCTTGGAGTAAAATCAAACAGCATAGGTAATATTGGTCACCTTGATGGAAATGAATCTAATATTAAGATCAAATGGTGCTAAAGACCTGCATTTCTATTTTTAAGTGACTATATTTTCTGACGAAGGGATCACATTTCTAGTACCAGAGGTTGAAGATGGTAATGGTGGTACCAGAAAGTTATCTGAATCAATTTCTAAAATTTGCCGTTCAATCGTTTGGATTGGTCATTCATATTTGTGTTTTTTTTTTTTTCACTGCGAAAATACTGAAAATGAGATGACGCCAGTTGTTGCTTCCAATTTCTAAAAATCTAAAGATGTCCTAAAGTTTAATTATAGATTAAATGGAGAATATAAAAATTATGGACTTAAAACTGCAAACTCGATGAGAAGATTAGTGTATTCATAATAATCATATATCTTCTATGTTATTTATCAGTTTGCTAATTTCGCAGTTTTCACCAGTCAATCAGTTAGATCAATCATTTGTTTTTATAAGCGAATGTTGTGCAAATGGTACCTTGTAAGACTTGTGTTCTTGTGTGATGCTCACTTACGTTTCAAATCACTTCAAAATCCATCAATTCGATTGGCATATCAACAATTTCTTATGTCATCTTTTATGTCAGTCTTCCAGTGCCAATCATTCTTCACTTTGTTGAATAAATCTCTCACCAGAACATTTTAATAATATACCAGACGCCTAATCCAATCATATAGAAATTCACTAAATAATAATTTTTAAAACTTGCAGGAATAAAACTGTAGAAGTTAAAGAAGTTATTGAGGTATTGCAGGTACTTCTATTGACATCAAATGGCTTTTTCGGAAAAATTTCGAATTGACCTAGTCAATAACCAATGGAACTAACCTAATTAGAAATGATGAGCATACTTTTCGCGAAAAAAAATGTGGTCATTTCAATTTCTTCCAAATCTTTTAGCATATGATGAAATCATAATTGAAAATATCTGAAAAAAGGCCAAATCTGGAGCTAAAATTTGGCCATTTCTAAGCACACTCCAGCTTTGAGATCGGTTGCATAATATTTCTCTTCAGTTGTTGCGCATATATTTGTACTGTATTGACTTATTGTTTACATTCTCACTGGCTTCGAACCACTTGCCAGAACCAGTTTGTTTACATCACCGATTCGCTTCCCGCTTTTTTTTAAAATAAATATAGCTTTACTCTAGTTTTGGAAAATTTCCTCGTTCCAATAAACAATAATGGAACCAATATTTTGGAGTACAAATACTATACTATTAAGACAAAGGAGGTCATGGGGACTTTAAGCAGCCTCATTAATCTTCCGAATTTGCTCGTAATGAATTGGATTTGTTATTAGCATATATAGATAGGGTCTGACGTTCAGTGCCTAAGGAAACGTTTATTATTGTCTCACCTTTCAGATTTTAAGCTCACTTATGAAATTTATACCAATTTATAGTTTGCAGGAAATACAAAAAATTTCCTGTCAATCCAAAAAATAAATTTAACTTTCGCTAACTCTTTTCATGTACAAATTTTTAAATATATGATAGTCCAATTTTAAGCGTTTTTGCAAAAATTTAATTTGCCATAATCTTAAAAGTTCGAAAAATCTCATAAACGAATCCACTGATTTATCATGAACAATTTGTTTTTTTTTCATTATCAATGAACTACCCTGTTTTGTATTTCAAATTTTTTTTAAATTTTCTAAAAATAAAAATTTGGAAAAATTTGGATCAAAAAATTCGCAAAAAACTTTTGTTGTTGAACCGCCTAATTAAGCTACTTATGCACAAAACGCTTAAAGTAATTTAATAGCACTTTATTTTTTAAATCAAACAATTGGTTGAACAGCAACCATTTGTAATTTTCTGTTATATGAAAGAAGTTAATATAGCGTAACAAATACCAGTAAGATCTGTTTTGTTCAAAATTTATAAGATTTAAAAGTATTTGAGGTATTATAAGAGAATGACTATTCTACACTTCCTACACTTGAAATCTAGTGCATTTTCAGAGAACCTTTTCACTCAAATGATATAATATATAATATAATATATAATATAATATATAATATAATATATAATATAATATATAATATAATATAATATAATATATAATATAATATATTATATAATATAATATAATATAATATAATATAATATAATATAATATAATATAATATAATATAATATTAATATAATTAATCAGTTACTCCTAAATAACCACTTGAAAATTGGTGGATTAATCGACCAAATTTTTTGCTGCTAATCCGTCTGACTTTAATATTTAGACTTTCCTATCTTTAAGTTCTCTTTTCAGCTGCTTTTTGTATATATTTTTTTTCTTTTAACGACCTTCCAATTTCGGTAATATTTTAGAGTTTGCCTTTTCCATGCCTTTCACGTTTTTTTTTCATCACTTAAGCGCTATGAATTTAGGTATTTCTTTCGTTTATTTATTTAAAAAATATCAAACATGACCTGAGCTTGAAAGCCTAAAGGCCGAAAATGTTAATGAACAAAAAATATAAAAACAGAAAAAATTTAAAAAAATTAATAAAATTAATTAAAAATAAACTAATTTCACGCGCTTAAATCTTCCAGTTCAATTTCATTTAATTTGGTCATTTTCGATTAAATAAATTACTTATTGGTAATTTTTTCATCTGGATTAGACGAAGCATTTGAAACTAATTCTCTTTTCTTCATTTTATTCACTTCTTCCACTCATAGTCCGTTTAGCTTATATTCGTGGAACTTTTGTAAATTTAAGATTTAGGCTACGAAACAAAATTTGCTAATAATAATCAAGGTTAAAGATATTCATAGCTAATTTCTTCGTTTTCCGTGAATTATGACGAGATTGTGCAAGAATCCATCAATTTGAGTGACAGTAACATTAATATTTCAACAGCTGATATATTTACCTACCATTGATTGTGTCTGATTGGTGTTATCATAAAATATATTTTAAAATACACCTTTATTTTCAGAAATGGGGTTTAAAAATTTTTTCATCGATTCAAATCTAAAATGTAAACCGAAAAAATAATGCTTTATTCGCTAAAATGCAAAAAAGTTATCTTACACTGATCTATTTGAAGCAAACTGAGTTTCATTTCATTTTTTCTTAACTATGAATGGTATTATGGCAGGCCATGAATTATTAGCCAATTAGATATATCGACCAATTTTCAAGGTATTGAAGTTATAAGAAAAGGTGAAAGAGACTTGGAGGTTTTATGATTTTGTGAAAAAGGGTTCATCAGCATATTTCAATTCACTCCTTTATCCTTTTATCTTTTTATAATAAAAGTGGTGTTACTGATAAATTTTTTCACAGATTAATCACTGAAAACAATAATATGACAATACAATGCTTATCGTTTGGTTCTGAAGTGTAATTTTTTATATAATAAATGTTTTTAACAGTCATTACACACTATGAGTTTTCTTCTACAAATTTAATATTCACCTTAGTTAACAAATTATTAGAAGTTATTATTACACTGCGAATTATCATAAGTTTAGCTTAAAATTATTGCTTTATTCTTCAGTTTAATTTCAGCTTTTCTCTACCATTGCTTTTTTCATGCATAAAAAATGGACCATTGCAAGATTCAGCAATTTACTTTGTTCAGCTTCCACGCTCATTTGAGAGTACTAATAGATTCATTAAAAATATTACATCAGAAAATTCCAGCATTTTTTGATCTAACTTAGAAGTTGATTACCTAGAAAAATTTTCTTTTATATTTAGCTAGAAAAGTTTTAATATTAAAATATATGACCAGAACAATTTTTAACCATATAATTTTAATCTTCTGTTTCAACTGAAACTGGATTTTAATCTCAAGTTCGAACGGACCATTATGGGACCATTATTCGTTAAATTTTATAAAATTATGGAAAATTTAGATATCTGGATACTTCTAAGACTGCTAAGCAATCACCACTTTTGTTGTTACCAATATCAGCGCCAAATTCTTAAATAAAGATGATTAAACATGATTTTGATTTTGACGCTCAATAACACCCATTTCCTTACAGTATAATTTTTGGTGCTGAATATTTTCACGTTTTAGTGAAGTATAACATGGAGTTAAGTACTTCGCGAAGCTCAATTCATCATTTAACTTCAACCTCATAGCCTAACGAAAAATAAATTACCTACTTATTTCAAAATTATTTAAAAATAATTATTTAAAAATAATAGCTAAGCATGCCCAGCACAGCCATGTGCTTGCATATTAGTGTCAGAAACAATAAAAATGGAATATCAGATGAAATAAAATGGAATAAGTTAGAAAAGCTTTACTTGAAATTAGAAACAAAATAAGCAAACAATTTTATTGATATTCAATTTTTTCCTAAAGCTAGAGACAGAACTTAATCTCTAGGTTATTTATTCCAATAATTAATAAAAATAAGAAACGGTTACAAAAATTCATTACTTTTATATTCACATTTAGTTCGTTAATTACAATCAAAAGGTTTCAGCAACGCTAACGGCGATCGAAGAGACGATTCGGACGGATCAACCGATGATGGATTGTGCGAGGCCAAGCCTTCATTTATGTTAGGACAGGCTGCAACATTACATCAAGATCTGATGCCATATGGTAGCCAGTTTCCACCAGGAATTAATTTGCCCTATGGTCCTCATCCACAAATGCAATATCTACCAACAGCAGATGTTATTCATATGAGCAATTATCAAGCTTTATGACATTCAAATTATATTGAGTATTTTGCTACTTAGATGTATATGAAAATATTATCCATTATGTTCTTTGGAAAAAAACACTTGATTTTGAGAAATTCAGTGAAAACTCTGGTGATCTTTCATCGTCGTGCATTTTTCTTCACGCCATTTTGTCGCTCAATTTTTAGAATATCTTATGAATGCGTTAGAACTTTAATTAACGCGAAAAAAATTCATGAAGATTATATATCCAATGTTAAAGAATTCTTTCGCTTATAGAAAACTTTCAGAAGATTTTGCTAAAGACCAATTCTTATTGAAATGAAATATATATAACAAAACAAGAAAACATGAATTTTTTTCAATGAAATATTCAGTTCATCGTTTCTGCTTTGAACTATTCTATTTTAATAAAAGTTGAAGAAAACAAATTTCAGCTAAATCAAAATATATATTATAAGGTGATTAGCAATTAGATAGTCGATTTGATAAAAATAGTAATTTTTCATCATTGTTGAAAGTAGTAATTTTAGTTTTTGCATCTCTAAAAAGCTATTTGATAATGAAATTGGTTTCGATTCTCATGCGAATTGTGGAAAAAAATTTTTTTTTCGATGAATTTCATATTTTGCATGATTTTGTACTATTTAGATCTTATTTTTTCTTTTTTTTCGGAGAAATCTGAAATGAAATCGAACGGCAAATCCATATCAATTGAACTATTAAATGCTTTATCCAGTTCAGGTTTTGCTAATTTTTCTGCAATCTATATATCCATCTTCTAGCATTCCATTTATACATTGATGATATAGAAGCCAATAGACAAATTATAAAATATTACATTTATTGAAACATTTATTGAGCAAAAAATCTGATTGCATCCAAGAAAGAATTTTTTAACGTTTGTACAGTCGCATATTTAATAACAGATTTGAGAATGATTAAGAACAAATGGATATCCTGAAAAACTTCTTTTTAGTATTGAAAAACGTTGTTTTTGAAGTTTGGTACAATAAATTTAATTCAAGTTGAGAAATTGTGAACAAAAGACAAGGGTTCCGGATTTATCAATGTTGGAGTCTTAGTTAACTGGGATATGCCAGTGAGCCGACTATAGTGGGTTTTTGTAATCAGTGACGGGCAAAACTTCTTTTTAGTATTGAAAACGTTATTTTTAAAGTTTGGTACAATGAATTTAATTCAAGTTGAATTAAGTGTTCAAAGTCACATATAGACTCGATATTTTATAGTTAAAATTATTTTGTGCTTATTCTATAATTATTTACTTTGATGTGAAAAAAATTTATAGCTATATGCTTCGTATAATAATATTATTAATGATAATAGTAACATTAACGGTGTTAATAAAAATAAGATATAATCTATTTTAATGCAATTTATTGTTCTTCGCCTGTAAATGCCTGTTAAATCATTATTAATTGTTGTCCTGTTTTCAGTTGTATCAACCATTTTTTCATAGGCACTGGAGTCTAGACACATGCAGATTTTCCTTATTTTTTCAGTCATCGAATAGATTCTCTTGTACTATTAATCTTCTCTCTTATTGTTAATAAGCATTGAAAATAAATTTATCGAGGCAGAAATATTTCTGAGCTTTTTACGTAAAATGATCACAGTGGAGATATTGATAGGATGAATATCAAAAATATTAAGAAATGTATCGAAATATGGCAATATGTAGCTGCATTGCAAAAATCTCTTCGGCATGTGCATAGGTGAACGCGATCCGAAGCTTCGAAAAGATACCTGAAACTGAGTCGCATTTTGCCATTTCATCGAAGCTAAATGAAATGAATCTACCAGAATTGTTGAAAAGAAATAAGAAATTAAAGACTCAGTGATGGTTAAACAAAAATATTTTAAAAGGATTTTTAAAAAAAAAAGAAAAGATGTATTCAAGGATATTCAGAAATCCAAAAATCGGAAATATCGACAAGAAAACATAAATAAATAAAACATTGAGAAGGCATTGATCCATTACTTTGATTAAAAATTCGGATTCATTTATATATTCATGGATTTACAGATCAAAATTCAGAAGATGATTTGCAGGTTTTTTCCTATTTGATGAAAATGAAGCATCAAACGGATCGGTGAAAAATCTAGGAAATGATTTTCATAAATGAAAATATTTCGAATGAAAGTTGTATCTGTGGTTCAATTCAAATAATTATTATTTAAGAATATTTGTTATCAAGATCGAGTCGAAATTAGCCTATCTTCTATTCATTATCCATTAAAAATCCCTTAGCAAGGAAGTGAATGTTAATCAAATCAGCATTTTATTGGCAAAAATAAATAAATATAAAATACTTTTCTTATTGGATTTTGCACATTTTAAAACTCCTCTCCTATCATTGACACCATCGAATTCACTGTGATGGATTATTTTTAGATCAATAAGTTTATATACTTATTAGACTCAACCAGCAAATATATGAAAGAATAGTTGTTAATACTCGAGAAGGCATATCGAATTTCATTCCCCTGGGAACATTTTGTCTGATTTTATGCGTTTGATAAATTTCACCTATCAGTAAGTATATTTATGTATAAAGTAAAGGAAATCCTTCAAAAGGAATTGTATAAATATCGACGAAATTTCCATTAATAACATTAATAACCGCATGGATAAGCAGTGATAGAATAGAGAGGTCTCTCAGCATGTAAAACATGGAAACCATCTTATTATATAATTCCAGAGTGTTTCACTCAAAACCAAAAAAATAGGAATAATGGTTGAACAATTTTTTCAACAATAATCTTGTTAAAGCATGAGAATACATAAATAAACATACATCACCTTGACAAGTTTTGTGGAATGTCAGTGGATTTCTCTCAAGCCATTTATTTCAGTGATGAAATACTTTACGAATCCACTTTTTTGAAGTTAATAAATAAAATAATGGTAGTTCACTGTCAAAAAATTATTCGCTCAAGTTGATTTGGTAAAGAGGAGATAGAAATAAAGGACGGGGACTTTAATTCAAAATTTAAATTAATGTTAAAATAATCAAGTTAATGAATCAAAAAGAAGTTAGGTTGCACCTACCAATCATGTGAAAAATTTTCTTATTAAACAGGGATCAAAAATAGAAATAAAAAGAAAAAACAATGTCTTCTAATTACAGATATTTGTCCTCATAATCCAATAAATATGGATAAGATTAAGGAAGAAAATTAGCAAACCTATGAATTAAATAATGGAATAAAACATTCTGTAGCATCCAAGGCATTGCCTCTTATCCACCTAAAAAATTTAGCTGTTAATTAACCATTAAAAATATAATATAACTTACTTTTCAGTGGAAACAAATAAATCTCGCATTCTAACAATGGCACAAAAACCCGATGAACTTAACGAAGCTATCGTTTGGTTGTAATGAAGTATATCTGACATACAACCGCGAAGAAACCCCTCTCTTCGACGACCTGAAACTATATTTATTTCGCCTTTGCCGATCTCATTTGGCGGTTGGCATCAATTTTCTATTACACCTTATTCTTCACCCTCTAATCCTTGAGGCCGTTTAGAAAACCACACAAATTTGAAAGGAACCATGCGATGAATTTCGTATTTTATAAAATATTCGTTTTATAAAATAAATATTCACTCGAAAAAATGAAATCTTGAATTATTTCTTGAATCAACAAAAATAAACTAAATGATAATTGAAATCGATCGAAAAAACCATTAACGTTTTTGCTATCAATTGTCCGACTTATGGTGACTGACTGATTTCTCAGAATTGATTGAATAAAGTAAATAAAAATTTTTTTTTGGGTTTCAAGCCGCTTTGCTTTTAAATAGATAGATAATTTAGATGATTACGAAGATCTGCCCATGAGCAAAGCGATTGGTAATGCTTTGATTTAATTGTATGAACATTTAGATTACATTTTGAATAATTTGTTCTTCAATAAATGAAAGTGCAAATTAGCAAAAAAATGCTAAAAAACCATATCGAAGCAGAGCAGTGCCCAGCACTACTTGGATTTTTTAATAACTTCTTTCTTAATGATATTCCATATTTCTGTCGTCAGGACTACAAAATTTGAGATTCTAATAGTACGCAATCGTTCATTCATCGGGTACAACGAAGATTGCAAGGCGATCAAAAAGGAAAATTAGAGGCGATTTTGGCTCGACATTATTATGTTATACGGTCTCATATAACCTTTGTCTTAAGGCTTAATGCAAAGTTCGAATCTATATAAACATTAGGCCAAGGCGAAAACATAGGCTAAGCTCTCCTTGCCCATTGCATTAAAAAAGAAGATGCGATTTAAAAGGCTTGGATCAGAAAATACATAGGGTTATTTCAACAATAATAAGAATATCTTTGCTTTAAGATTACAATTAAACTGCCAATTTGGTGTATTGAAAATTTAGATAAATTATGTGGGCAGAAATTAAATTATTGCGATGAAAATTGAACAAAAATTGCCATCGCATCGTGTTCATCCAAGAGTATTTTTTAAAGCATTGGCTACTATGGAGCAAATACGCAGTTTTCTGTCACTTCTTTTGAGAAAATCGAATATGGATTACGAACTGCTGATGAAAATCCTCGTAAAATGCAACTTTTAGATAGAATGCAATAATCCCTAAAATTTCCATGAAATTTAAAATGTGTTCAATTTTTAGAAGAAGTGACTCTCTTATAAATAAAAATAGGCCCAAAATCAGAATCGCTTAATATGGCAAAAATTTGGCTCGGTTGTTAGTTGAATATAAATTACAACAAATGCAGATGCATAATAAGCGATAATATGTGATAATCTCAAGAGAATGCAATCAAAGGTCATTCTCGAAGCAGATCGTTGAGTATATGGAATTATTAGAAAATATCCTAAAAAAATAACAACTTAGTGGAAAAACAATTATAATTGAAATAGGAAAAGGAGGAACTATATATATATGGAAAATATAAAGGAACTAATACTGATGATACTTGATAATTTGTTCTGAAAATTTGACGAATGCCCGCTCTCAATCCATTTCAGCGAGATATTTCGTGATTTAGAAGTCCAATCCGATTTTCCTAATACCTTATGAATCGACTAAAACATGGCTGATAAGCCTGTTTTTCTCCTTAGTTTCATGAACGATCTCTTTCATCTCCACAAAAGTACATTTTAAACTGGTTTAAAATTAAAAATACCTACCACCGACCCGATCATTTATGCGCATCGTTATGCACATATCAGAGCAATTTTTCCATTTGACACTTCGCGCATCAAAACTGAAACGAACAAATATACTTCTCAGTCAAAGATAGGAATCAAAAAATTGGGTAAAATTGGGTACTAAGACGTACTTTTTTTCAAATAGATTTAAATTCGCAGATTTTTACGAAAGATATAAATTTTAGTTTATTATATTTATTTACTGCAAAGAAATGGCCATTTCTATCGGTAATGACCATCTATTGAGTGGTTTCAAGCTTGGCTTCTAATTTGTTTCTCTTCTTTATGCCTTTTGCTTGGTTAGATAGCTCATACCACACTAATGTACAAAATAGATATAACTTTTATAACAATCGTGAGGTGCTTTTGACAAAAGCCAGCATTAGCTAACCACATTTTCTCTTTTGGATGCGTTGGAGCTCAAGCTCAGTGTATCAGAGAACTGAGTGGATAGATAACCCTTATTATTTTGCTTTTCTTATCTTAGATATTAATCCAGCATTTATGATAGGCCTTGAAATTATATTTTTCCTTTACTTTTTGTCTTTTGCTTATATTATTAATAAGGTGTTCTTATTTATTACTTTTTAATTAATGCTATTTTCGAGACAATCTATGATTTTATCCGTTTCATTTGTAGTTATCAACTTTTTATTCTAAAGGTTTTAATGACGATTGAATAATACGTTGCATAGTAATGAGAGGCCTAAAAATTTTTTTTTAAAGGTAAAATTTTTTTTAAAAGTCCTCACTGTTAGTGGTTAAACTCGCTCTGCTGGCTTGTCGCACTAGACACATATGCCAGGAAGTTCCTTGGCGATGGAAATATAGGTGAGTTGCCAGCTCATCCGCTTTTTTGGACAGGCTTACTTACTGTGGTATAGAAATTCAGTATCTATCAGTACTCCAAATTGAGCAATAACCCACTGAGCCATCCTAAACTGTGAAACTATAATAAGTTATATCATGAAATTCGGTTGACATACTTGTTTTGATCGCACTTATCAGTGAAACCGCTTGGTCGCCTGTATAAATGAGATACATAGAGATATTGATGCTCAAGATATGGACTCATACAACTGTAGCATGGGATCCGCGATGCTGTAAATAACATAGTATGTATATTTCTGCTTTAAGAACAACAATAACTGTCAATAAGTTTGATTTTGAGAATAAGTGGCTCTTGATGACATTTTAAGCATAGGGCGTCAATTTTCTTTATGGAAAATTTGTCAGCAGTATCACTAGTTTTCTAGCACTTCCGGAATTTTTCTAGATACAACTAATGTATTGATGCGATTAATGCAAAAGCTCAAGGAAAATATTTCCGCAATATAAAATTATACTCATTATTGAAATGAAGATCAATGACTATAGAGACGAAAAAATTTATTTCAGTTGGATGAAACTATTTAAACTTTCTGCTTTAATTTCCATATCCATAAAATTCTAATAACAGCACTTGTAATAAGCAATATAGAAAACTTTTCATACGTTATGCAAAAATATTTTTGTGGAAGCGAAAATTCCGGACCGTTTCTGTGCTAATTACTTATATCAAACTTTGAATTTTTTCTTTCATCCTTCAGCGTTTTCTTCAAATTACTCATGCGAAAAAAATTTCAGCTTGATTAACGATAAATTTGTAGTTGATGAGCTGAATACATACCATTACTCGTTTAAAAAATTACACATAAAAATTAATTTTTATATTTTTCATTTCCATCGTAAGGAAATTCAACTAATTCAACTACACTGCAGCAATAATACAGCATTCGACAAATGGATATGCTTGTATAAATTGTTTGTTAACTGGCAGAAAGACCGATACTTCAATAAACGCGATAATGAATTTGGTCTACTGAGACGAAAAATGAATGGCTTCCATTAATTTTATCCAAATATTGTTCAAAACAGCGAAAATGAGCACGAGAATTCATAGTTCCCTTCGTTGTTCTACGCCAGAAAAAGATATTACCAATCAATGTTTTCTCTGAGTGAAAGCCTCCAAAGACTTTGGAAAAAGTCTATTGACTTATAAACGCAACAATTTTGCAGTTTTTTTGTCTATTTTTCGTTCAGCCTTCATTCATTGAAATTTTTTTATTTTTGATTATGCATAGCGGATGAACGAATAAAAAGTATGGTTTCTCATGCATGGTTTCAAGATATCCAAAACCGGACATCTTTGAAATCCACTTTTATTCAACTTGTTGTCTCCAATATGGAATAATAAAATAAGAATTGAATGGCACAGAATGTTAGAGATTTCCTAGAAGCTCATTTTTTGGAGAAAAAAGATCCATTGGAATAAATATTCTTTGGCACTTTTTTTGCACTCGCCAACTTTTTCTTTTAAAGCAGAATAGGCTAATTTTAATATATTCTATATAAATAAGTTATTCAGAAAATTACACAATTTATAATCCAATTATAGATATTCACTTTTTCTATATCTTCTTCTGTATCTAAGACCAAAAAATTTGTTAAATTAAACTTAAGTATGTAAAATTTATGCAACATATTAATTTTGAAGCATAATGGTATGCTTAAATAGCTATTCTATTAAGAAAGAAGTATTTATGCGTTAGAAACTAAAAACAAGTTAAATGTGGCGAAATTTTAATAATACACGCAATTCGAGGTGATTTACGAAGATAGGCTTCATTTTCAATTTTGTGGCCAAATTACGTCTTCACTGTTGTAAACTCAGTTAACGCGTAATTTTTGTTCCGGCGAAATTTACCACAGTTACTTTTGCCTATAAGTCAAAATATTTTCGCAAAAGATTTATTCAGCAGACCCAAAATTAAGAAATGATCGCTTTATCACTAAGGAATCGAAATTTTCACATCCTAAAGTGATATGTATATGAATAGAAAATGGTACTCGAAAAAAAAATTTAAGGCAAATTTGAACATGAGTAAATCTTAACTGACTAGAAAATTTAGCTCAGACCAATGAAGCCAATCCAGAGATTTAAATCTGCTGGGATATAATCACAAAATTCACCACAAACTCAGGCGCTTTTCACTGTTATCATAAAAGCGATTCTCAAAATACAGAAAAACAAATGTTAGCTAGCAAATATTAACAAATATTTTATATTTTAAAATTATATTATTTTTTCCTGGAAGAAATTTTATCAAATGGAGGCGTCAAAATTTTTCGCCATTCTTTCTTTAACTTTAACTTGACTTCAACTGAACTGCAATAACTTTCAATGTATGCAGCGGCGTAACAGGAAATAAAGTAAAAGAATAAACCAGTAGTTCATAATGCTTTTTTTTATTACATGTGCGTATGAAGACTTGCACTAGACAAAGGAGAATTATATACCCGAAACGATAATAAAGTAGAGGCATCGCAAAAATATGACGAGGATATTCCACTAGCAATAAATATATAAATATCATCGATCTAATAAATAAAGGTTGCTGATGGAAAGCAATTTGGCAACTATTGTGTATTGTATGCGTTCAAAACATTGTTTGAATTCCTGCTAAAACACAATTATGACCAGGTTGATGGCCAAAAAAAGTATTTAGACGGACAATTGAATGTGCAAGTGATAAAATTTTCAAATGGGAAGATTGACGAATTTTTTACATAGATAGATAATAAAAGTTTTCAGAAGTTGATTTATGGATAATGTTAAGATAGATAAAGAAAGTAAAGTATGAGTAAGTATTTGCATCAGCCACCGAATAAATTGCTGAATTTTTACACAATTAAAATTGGCATCTAATCAGTGCACCTGAATGCTTAATCGATGTTCGCAGAGTAAAAAATAACAAATTTGAAAAAAGTTAAGAATGGTTTAAACTGGTTAAGAAAGATAAGATAACTTCCAACAAGATGCAAAAATGATTTTTCAAAAAACTTTAAGACCTCAAAGCTAGATATTAAAGATTATTTTAGAAACAAAATGAAGATAACTCAACTGTAAGGATTCGAGGAAGGCATATCAGAGACGTTAGCCAGCATATAGCTAATAAGTTGGAGAATGTCGGCCGCCATTCTAAAACAATGGATGCAAAATGGAATTGAAAAGAAAGAATTTTGGTCAAATGCACTTAGTGGATTATCCCTTAGAGACTTGAATAAGAATTAATTTGAAATTCTCGTAGCAACACCCGACATAAATTACCTTGACCCCAGCACTTTAACTCTCACTTCTTTATCATATAAATTATGAAAATCGCTACACATACTACACCATAAATTATAATTTGTCAAAGATAAAATCGATTGTAGTGATCGTTATGACTAATATGAGTTAGATTGATGATAATATTGTTTTTAGAAGGATTTTTTCTTCGATAAATTGGTAATCTCGTTAAGAACATATGAATATCTATTATCATGCTCTTTTTTTACCAGTTAAGTAATATCGAATGCATTTTCGTCAATTCGATTCAGCTTGTCCTTGAATATTAACATGAAAATGATTTAATACGTCGTCGAGCATGGTTTTGAAGTACCGTACGAAATAAATCGACAACAATATGATTAAGCTCGTGTGATTGATGGAAACCATCAAACAATTAATCATGCCAATTACCTATAAGTTTTGAAAACTTTTTTATACAAAGTAATCAGTCATCCAACTGACTAAAAGGCTGCTATTTTTCACTAAAAAATTTTCACTTTCCGTCAGTACTTTGAAAAATATCATTTTCCATGCGAAATTATCATTAATATAAGCTGAAAACTTAAACTTAACAAATTCTTATGATATGCAAGTATTAAATTCATTTAATAGATTACAGAACTTTATTATTTTTTTTATTATTTTATTTGTTATAAGAAATCGAAATAGTGAATCAAATAATGGACAAAGCAAACCGATCATTTTGACTAATCTACCAGTTAGGAAATATTTTTAAATCTGCTATCGTGTCCCGTTTTTTCCAAAGATAATTTTAAATTTAAAATTTAAAATAAATAAATTTAAAATAAATTAAATTAAAAATAAATTATATAGTAAGTTTTTTATTATAGTAAGTTTTTTACAACTTTCAAAAATAAAAACAGGCTGCCAGTAACCTGCAAAATAAAAACTATTATTCAGATTAGATGAGAAAGTTAGATGACAGATGAAATGCACAACTACTGGTTCATATTCGAGCATTGAACAAACATTCAAAATCTTCAAAAATAAGCAAGAAATATCAAATTCATTTCCATTCATCTTGTATTTATTTATATTTTTTAAATAACATTTTAGCTGCTAAGGAACAGATTATGATTACCGTTCTGAATAAAGTGGCATAGGTGAACTTTTTATTTTCCGATTTGTAAGATAGCCAGCATCATACCTGTATCGTCATTAATTGCTGGATCATACACATTAGCAAGTATGAATGAAAATAATTTCGTAAATTGTGTCGTCATGTCTGATATATATTGAGCAGCATGTTGAGCTCGAACGTCGAACGTTAACGTAAAGCGGTGCAACAAAAAGGCATAGAAGAAGTTCAAACTGAATTTTTTCGATATGTTGATCGTTTTGACGATAATTGTTGAATAAGGAGATATTATAGGGGATGGGACAACTGAACGCAATGAGCGAAAAAACGTTTTATGGATGAAGAATGGGCGACTTGGCCGTTAACGACGCGCCTCCTATTGACGATCATTTTTGCATTTAGAGAAGGCGATTAATGAAAAGCTAGTAAAAGATGATGGATTCTATAGATATGCAAATAAATTAAACAAAATTTGAAAATTATTGCCCAAAACTGACTAAGTTCTAATCAGTCGATAAATTTTAATTAAACTAAACAAGCAATTACGTTCATTTTACGATCCAACATAAAATGAACCAAATTATTCCAACAAATGACGTCCAAAATATTTTCACTGAGAAGATTTTTGGCATTTCTACAATAACGTTCAGCAAAGCCAACACATTTCTTATTATTTCTTATGAGTTTCCATCCGAAGTATTATTTCGAGCGGACAATTTTTTTGGCGAAAATTTCACAAACCTTAAAAACAATGCACTTACTTAATGATGTAATAAATTATAAAAGAATTCATTAGAAGCTTAAATGAACTTAATGAAATTTACAAAATTTCCCTTCGAAACTTGAAAATGGTAACAGGAAATCGACTGAACACTGAAAATACTGCAAACTTCTCTTCTTAAACTTTTTGAAAAGCAGATTTTTATTGAAATTTGTAGAAATCTTTCGGAATTTTGCATAATGACTCTAGTTTATCAAAATTTAATGAAGTACAATTGCTTAATACAGCTGTTCGCCAAATTTGCATAAGTTAAATTGATTCTTCAGTCAGTGCTCACAATTTATATTTAGAAGTATTATGAAGTTTTGATATAAGTTGTCAGATCCAATTTCGCATCAGAACGAAAAAAAAGGGTACCATAAGTTTCGTTTTGTATATAAATTTCTAAATTATCTTAATTAGTAGTGCAAATTTTGGATAATAATTTCATAGGAATTATGAGATCTTCAATTTTCATTTAATAAAGATGGTAATATCGTGGCTCGTATCAATGGAGAAAATACGTAGGGCTAGAGAAAGTATAGGAAAGATTAATGATTAAGAATTGATATCTATTAAAATTTGATATCTGCATTGTTGATGTTCATGATATCAGTAAAAATTGCTCCCATAATCCAGTTGACGGAAGATATTTAGAGGAGAAAGAGTCGCTCTAGTATGAATTTTTCTTATAAGGAATAAAAAAGCTCAAACTTGTCATTTTCCATACCATATATATTTATAACTTTTATTTTATTGTATTTAGAAATAGAGAGGCGGATTTGCAGTCTCAAAATATTCGCAAACATTTGATAAAATGTTAAAAATTTCCAAAAAGTGCAACGTGTTTGAATGTTATGTTGGTTTGAACGATGGAAGTATCATAAGTTCTATTCTTATTCCACTCTTTAGCAGAAGTAAACCTATGTTAGAAAGCGAAGTCCAGGTTTTACTGGAAACCCATTTTTATTTGTCATCCAAAGAGAATCTCTGATGAAGGATCTCACAGAAATAGCCAATAGAGTTAACCAAAACCAGAAAAGGAGGGTACTGTAAGAAGAAAGTTTCCAAAGTTTCGATGAAATGAACGTATTTTTGCGCAACCATTCACCTAAAAAAGTGGTTAAAATGGCGCTTCTATCTTATTCAGATAACCAAAAATCCCCATTACAAAATAAATATCTTATCAATAAAAGATTAAAAAAAGAATTTCATTTTTGAAGATGCAAGAGGTTTAAAACGCTGTTAAATGCTGTTAATTTTTCTCTTTAAGTAGCCAGCAATTGTAATTTTATGTTTTATCGTATCCAAGTTGGCATCAAAAAACTTTCAAATGCAAATCGCATCACATTCCCCACTTCCGCTTTCTGCAGTTTTCCATTTTTATCACCTGTATTTCCTCCTTTTATCCTCGTATTTTCTAAAGTTTGTTTTTAATTCTTCGCTTTCACACAAATAAGTTCAAATTCTGAAAATTGTAGCGCGAATCTTGATTTTAGCTTTAATTGCAATAGTTCTAAATTTTTTATAGTTCCAGGAAAAGACCTTTTCTCCTTAACTATGCGTTAAAAAACACCTCGCACATGTTCTAAAAAAAGTAAACTAAACGGAAAAATTTCTAATAAAGGAAAAATAAATTTATAAAGGAGAAGAATGCTATAATTTTAATAGAACAATCAACGTACTTCCTTGATAAATAATAAATTTAAGAATAATAAATATTAATAGATTAATGAAGAATTTTTCTTTGACTTGAAATATATAAATATAAAATATAAATAAAATGAATAATTAGAATGAAAGCAAGAAGAATGAAAAGATTTGATAAGAGAGAGAGAGAGATCTTCAAAGAAAAATCACAAATTATTGCATCAGTAATATTGAAATTAAAAAATTTGTAAAGGCATTATTAAATTAAATTAAAAAATGTAGTGATAAGATGGTACGTGAAAGAGGCATTTGAAATTATTTGTTATAATGTATCTAATGAAACTAATTTTTTCTCGAACATTTGCAAAAATTAGTGGATAACGATGAATATAGTTACAGAGCCAATTGTTGTAATAGAATTGAAATACCACAAAAAAAATTTATAAACAAAAACTTTTAATTCTAGTTTGAATAAAAAAATTTGGATAATAACTTTCTTTCATAATTAATTTTGTAAAAAAAACTAATAAATCTGATCTGCTGAGAGGAACCCATTTGCACTTTTATCTCCAAGCGTTCTTCTGTCATTAATTGATATGGTGATTGCTGTTTGGAAAAGCAAAAATAATGAATTCTCATCTTCATAGGCCCTTTTATGGACAAAATTTTTCAAATTTATTTGTTTCTTTTTTATTTTAAGCTTTTTTTTGCGTGACGGATGATAATAAGTTATTTTAACTAGGCAAGAGCGTATTCATCAGTGTTTAATTTAAATTTTTTTAAAATTTAAAACTATTAATTTTTATAAAGATCAGGCGAAATTCTTTATAAAAACCACGTTATCTTTAATCAGCATTCACAAGTATACTTTTTTAGAAAAATAAGCTTTATTGATGCGTTATTATCACGATTTTTTACATAATTTAGAATTTTTATTCTAAAGTCTTCACAAATTTTTCAAATAGTGCAGTTCTTCCATTTCTTTTTGAATTTTTCTGAAAATTTTGTTCTTAGCTGATTAATACTAATTTTTTAAAATATTATGATTGAAAATTTAATACCAATAGCAAATAGAAGTTATTCAAGAATCTTTATCATTTGAAGTAATTCAACAATTTTTATCATTTACTTAACGTTTGCATAGAATAATTCAATCGTATTGATCAATAATATAAAGTTCGATGAGAAATAATTTAAAATTTATTGATGATGTAGAAACGAACAATGAAATTTTTTCGATTTAAAGATGGAAACGAGGAAATTTAATTGCATTTTTCGTTTGAACGTCTTTATATCATCGCTATAAATATTTAAAAAATATACTTTGTTACTCGTTAAAAAATGTGAAAAAATATACGGATAAAATGGATGATTCTGCCCAATGATAAATCATTGGTTTTCACTAAATTTTTTTCCGAAATAATTTACAAAATTTCTTTCTATAAACGATGAATTTAGTCTAAACCTATAGGAAATATGAATGAATAAAATCATCGGAAAAAATCTCGAAAAACGATTGCACTGAGAAATGCATTGCAATATGCACTCAAAATCTCTATTTAACTCTTTTCAGCTCTGATTTATCAATTAATCGAAAAAAATTTTGTCTTACGAAAGTGAAATATTAGAAAAATCTATAAATCATCTAAATAACTTTACGAAAGAAAATGGATTTCCGAGATTTAAAAAAAAATTTAATTTTAGAAAGGTTTAAGAGCTGAAAAGAGTTAAGGTATTACCACCGATAATGCGAATAAGGATTTTTCAATTTCTAACTGTTCAATTATTTTTCTTCTTATAAATTTAACATAAAAATTCGTTTATCAAGCCACTAAATTTAAAATTTACAGAAATTAATAGTTTTTTTTTTAAAACGCTCACCATTGCTGGTCCTTTCTTAATTATATGTCGAATTAACGAAATGTGGTAAGGAAGTCACATGTTGATGTAAGTCACCAGCATCATCCGGATTTTTTGAAGAGCAGGTTTCCTTCTACTGGGCCTTAGCAATGGCGATCCGAAAAAAGTAATAAGCCACTGAGTCATTCTAATTCTTTTTGTTATCGCACTCTGACGAAATCTATTGCGTCAGCCGGATTCAAACACGTGCCACTCTCGATTTTCACTGGTAATTATCTTACCAGTAAATGTACAGAAATTGGTAAATGTTATAAGCGATTCAGAGCTTTGAAAAAAATCTGATAAATAAACCTAGTCTTTTTATTGGTTGGGAAAAATCAAAGGAACTAAATAAATAAATATTAAACTACTAATAAATTCATAAATGAATCCATCTTTTATGTTTCGTATATTTCAGTATTTATGCTAAGGCTTAACAATAAAGTGATGTATATTTTGGAATTTAAGCAAGGTCTGAAGTGCAATTCTGAACTGCCAACGATGAGGGCACGAAAAGCTAGAATTTCGTAGTACAATAAAAAACTTCGGGCATAGAGGCAGCGACTAACGAGAATGATGAGGAAAATACATTTATAAAAAATTTATTCTGCATTTGCATATGATTTTTTATTGAACGACGAATTTTCGTTGATATCGAAATTCATAATAAAAATGATAAGCGCATTCTTTCAAATAATTTTCTTGCGATTTAAATTAACTAAGAATTAAAAAATTTAAAATTTTAAAAATTTTTAAAGAGAAAAGAAAAATTTTTATAATAATACTTATTAAGTATGAAATGGTATTCAATTTTGCGCAATAATAAACGACATTAT